GGGGGGAGACATGATAATGTCCCAACAGTTGAGAGGCTGCCCCAAAGCAGAGGGAGGGTCCGCCTATTCTCCAGAGCACTAGGAGGAAACATGAGAAGCAATGGATGAAAGATAAGGAGAGCAGCAAGGTAGAATTAAGGAGAAATAGCAGTGAGGACAATTAACCAATGGAACTACTTGCCACCAGAAGCTTCTCAAGAAGAGACTGGACAACCATTTGTCCGGAATGGCAGAGGGCAGGGATGGCTAACCTTTTTGTCGTTGCGAGCTGAAAGGGCACACAACAACACATACACGTGTACCCTCCCCCCTGTGCACGACCCTCACCCACAACCCCCCACGCATGCCCCATTTTGGGCCTAGCAGGCCTCCCTGAAGACCAAACGCAGAGCATGGGGGTGCACTGTCACTCCCCCCGCCTCCCATACATGCGTGCATGACCCATGCGCATGCATCTCCCACATGCACCTCACACACACACCCCATGCATGCGCTGCAGAGACCTGAAAATCAGCTGGCCGGCGGGAGGCGCAAGCACATGCACAGTGGAGCTGAGCTGGGGCGAGAGCTGGCATGCCCACAGAGAGGGCTCCACATGCCATCTGTGGCACACATGCCAAACCTTCGCCATCATGGATCTAGGGTCTCCTGCTTGAGCAGGGGGTTGGACTAGAAGACCTCCGAGGTCCCTTCCCACTCTCCCATTCTGCTTGTCAGAAGGCTGCCAAGGGGGTCAGTTGCAGCCATCATAAATACGTGCCAAGTTGCCAAGTGTCCCAATTTTGACCACGTGACCCTGGGGATGCTCCAGGGGGTCACCTGTCTGAAAATCTCTCACCCGACGTTTTTCAATGCTGTTGTAATTTCGAACAGTCACTAAGTGAAGAGTTGTAAGTCGAGGACTGTCAGTAACCGCCTGCAAACCCAGGCAGCGGACTCCGTTTTGGGAGTTGCGCCCCTCCCTCCGTCTCGGCTGCCAGTGTGTGTGTTTTTGTACACTTGTGTGTGTTTTGTGGCTGCATGTTTCTCTTATTTTTATTACTTCTTTCCTTCTTTTTGTAAGCCAGCCGGAGTCCTCCGGGATTGGGCGGCCTATAAATTTTATTAATAAATAAATAATAAAACAAATGCTCGGCCTTGCAGGAACTCTGACCGTGGAACAGATCTATCAGGACCGAGACCAGTTTGCCAAGCTGGTGCGGGAAGTGGCAGCGCCGGATGTGGGCAGGATGGGCATCGAGATCCTCAGCTTCACTATCAAGGTAGGAGGAGATGAGGCGCGGGGGGGGGGGGAGCCAGAGAGCCTAGGGGAGAGAAAGAGGAGGGGGGGAAGACGGCTCCTCCCTAACAGCTCCCAGAGAGTCGAGGCTTCAATCCAGCAGGGCTGTCCAAACTTGGGAACTCTACCGCAGGCTTCAAAGCACAGAAGAAGAAAAGAGAGAAAGATTGACGGAGATAAGGAGAGAAATCTTGATAGAAGCACTAGTGATAACCAAAGATAAGCTGATGGAAAGAGCAGATGTTGGGTTTCAAGCTTTTGTAAGATATGAAAGGAACAGCATGTGGCCACGGGAGGTTTATATAAGATTTATTAAGAAAGTAACTAGAACATTAATGCTGCAAATGGCAAAAGAGATATAAGACCGTACTATTGTTGGAGGGATACAGGTTGATGCAATGAAAAGGTATAATAAAAACTAAGTTAAATTTAGTTTACTAGTAGTATGTATAAAATGAAGCGACAATAGCTATAGTTAAATAGTGATTAATAATGATAACAATACATATAGATATATTAGTTTGATAATATAATAAACCTCCCTTGGCAACATGCTGTTCCTTTCATATCTCACAAAAGCTTGAAACCCAACATCTGTTCTTTGCATCAGCTTATCTTTGATTATCACTAGTGCTTCTATCAAGATTTCTCTCCTTATCTCCATCAATTTTTCTCTCTTTTCTTCTTCTGT